TGGTCATTGTCCGAGCTTTATTGGTGCACTGTCCCTGCTGTCGTCCGGGTTGGTATCCGGGATGTCCGCGGTTGTTGGGGGGGGGGGGGGTCGGAAGCGACAAACTTACCGGTCAGGAGCCTCATGCGTCACACCGTGTGGCCGATGCTGTATCGAGCAGAGTCGCACAGGTTGTTGCATCATCGGCTCAAGATTCTTCACGACCCGAATACCCTCTTTCTGCATGTGCGTGGCCGTGGCCAGCTCGTTTCTTGTTTGGGACTTACGCTCAAGTTATGGGTGTCCTGATTCTGGCACATGACAACATGCTACCAGTAGCTAATCCATTATGCAGCCATGGAAGATGATTTCGATGCAAATCGTACGGGCTTGGCTCACAAGGCTCGGTGAGCCTAGATTGCGGCGCGATATCTGCTGTGAACTCAGCACCAGAAAGCAAAAAAGTGGCTCATAGTGATCATAGTGGCTCGCTGCGCAAACAAGGTCCTGTCACATGCATTTGCAGAGGGTGCCCGGGGGCATGGAGTCCAGTCGAAAGTCGTGGCGGGTCCCAACTTCGTGCAATTCAGCACAGTTCGGGAGGAAAATCACGCCGCGCAGCCGGTGCGCAAGCGAAGTTAGACATTAACAGGCCCTGGGCTGAAACATGGGCCTATGAAAACTGGTGAGACGCTACAGCAACAAATGCCCTACTGGGCCGGCAAATTCGTTGCCAGCGGGCAGCTTTGGTGCTAGGAGCTGGACAGTGCCTGGTCAATGTCGGCCTTGACCTCTTGTGGAGCTTTAGGAGAAAGCAAACTTCATGAGGGAGGCACAAGCTGGCTGAACTACCATGCTTCTATGCTTGATGCTCAGTTCCAGGCACGGGATATTCCCTGAACCACCAGCCGAGCAACCTGGGTTGCGAATGAGGCAAACACATGCAGCAGGCCTGCAAATGTGGCATGGGCAGAGTAGTGGAAAGATGTCGCATGATGTCAAGGAACGGAATGAGCTGTAACAACCCGCTACAACCCCACCTCACTGTTCAGGCTGCATGAGTGCTGTATCCTCAAGCAGACAGTCCCATTCCCGACTTTTGACGTTTGACATATTGTGGCACGAAAGCTTAGCATGCAGGGGTGACGGATCAACAACAACTTGGTGGTTTAAGTTTTCGATCCTAGTTAATTAATGTGCTTTGACGCTAATTTCATTTTCTGATGCTAATTTATTTTTTGTTGATCCCTATCCCACCATGCATACTCTTTGAGGCTGAGCTGAGCTTCGCGCAAGGCGGCCTCCGGCACCCACAGCCTCGTCTCGATAACCCCACAGCCTGGACACGACCTTGGTCGCATCGCATAAATGTTGATAAGGGCTTTGCTGCACATGCCGAGCATAGCCTCTGTTGCGATGCTTCGTTGCTCCCGGAAAGGCCTCGTCCATGATCGCTAGACAGTTGAGCGACCGTTGCCCTGTACTATGGACAACATCAGCGGCAAACCATGGATGCTACCAAGCTACAAGGCCCGAAAGCGTTCGATAGTCTCGCGGACCTGTTCAGAGAGAAGGCATTCATCGAAAGTGTGACAGTGACCAATCCAAGTAGCCAAACATCGTTTTCTAGTATTATGCGGGGGGCGGAACGGGGCGGAGCCATCTGCAGGGACAAACTGCCAGAAAAGGTGTTCGCAACGTTCCTTGGGTGGCTTGGAGACTGAGTCTGCTGAAGAAGTGCAAAGGTTTGTCATACTGCTGTATACGATTCCGCATTTGCTTGAATGATCGCTGCAGTTAAGTTGTGTCGTGAAATGTGGCCGCAGGTCTTAGAATAGATTAGGATGCAGACTGTCGTGAGCTTGTTGCATCATGGAAGTAGGTCGGAGATGGCAGGGGTGGTCCGGGCACGCAGGGTCAGACAGACAGGAGAGGGTGAAGAAACCGACATCACTCCTTTGGAAGGTGTCAGACTTGTCGGCGCTCTCTGGTGGACGAGCGTGATCCGAGTGTGGTGGAACGCCAGACATTCCCGCATTGCGTGTAGTCGTCTTCAGCGTGCGAACATGCGCAACAGCCGAGGACAGGACTTGTGGCTCGGCAATGGATGCAATCTCCTGCGCCTGCACAGAACAGAAACAGATTGGTGGACCTTCTGTCGACCGCGAAGCATGCACACGCCAAGACCACAACCCCTGAGTTTTCGGCATTCGCAATCACTTTCCTGTCATTTCTATCCGGCGTCATCAAGCCTGCATATCACATGAGATGTGCTTGCACGACCATCAGCAACTCACAACACAGGCCTAGACTTCCAGCTCCTGGAAGATTCCAGGATGCTGCCAACTCTCTGGCATTGGCGCCAACAACCTGCCAGCTAGAAAGTCTGCCCCAGCCACCAGCACATAACCGTGCCTTCGCGAGCTCATCCAAAAGAAGTCCCTGCAACTCGTCACATAACTCACACATGACCACATGACGACTGACAAGACTGCATTAGCAGGCAGGGAGCTTTATGTTTGCAAGCGCAAGCAAGCGCCGAGGGCAATGCGCTCATATTACATGTTACTACAGTCATCTCAGTCTGTGCACGTGACGACTGCCGGTCCAAGCCAGCTCGTCATGCCCGGTCTGGATCAAACAAGCATTCTTCAGGAAACATCACTTTCTCGGAATCAGCAGAAACATCATGAAAGTCTGAACTTTGGAAATCTGGTCGCGGTTGACTTGCTCATTGGAGAAGTCAACTTCTCGCTGCTCCCGGCTTTTATCTGAAATTCTGTTTTTCGGATATTACTCCGAAGCTGCGTGGAAGCTTGCGACTGTCAAGTTCTGTCGAAACAGCCTATGCCGACTACATATGCACTCGCCCTCTGACGCAGCAAGCTTCCAGAAATTCTGCTTGCTGATCCCCCGCTGCACACCGGCCGCCGCCTGAAGCGCAGGAGGAACCTTTCTGGCTTTGCCTGTATCCTGCACAGTTCACACGGGAAGATGCAGCAACCTAAGCATCGCGAGACTTGCAATCGATCTGCACGAGCGACGAAGGGCCACGGCACTGCGTCCTCAGATTCATGCGATTCTGGCAGGCGTCCCAACACCAGACTGGCCAACCTGTCCAACGATGAAGTTCGATTTGCTTGTTTTCTGCATCAAGGTCCCGGCTGGTCAGCAAGGTCTGCTGCTTCCTCAGTTCACCGGTGCAGAATGTGGGAGATTGCCTATGCGCGTTCTGCTGGCCTTGGCAGCTGGGCCATTGCTCGCACGAGTTGCAGCCTCGGATCGATTCAAGCATGCTTTCGACAATTGAGCTTTCCGCGCGAGTCGAGATTCACACACTTGCCTTCGGTGTATATATGTTTCCCACCCCAACCAGGGACTTCTCAAACTTAACGTGTCTGAATACAACTCCTGCATGAAGAAAACAAAAGTTGAATGAGGCGCGCCGTGAGCGAGATTCAAACCCAACAGCTTGGGAACCTCGGCAAGGATGCCTATTGGGGAATGGTGTTCATGGGACCGCATCCACCAGCCGGTCCCGGCTTTCAGTCCCCTTCAACACCTGCATATCGTGAGCCTGCACATGTCTTGCAAGCGGCCACAGCGTCACAACGTGGTCGAAGGTTAAGCCGGAAGACTCCCCAGCAGACAACAGGCCCTTTGGTGCAGTCCGAAGGTTCCTCACTGCCACTGATAATTTGCGGCCGCCGAAATTTGTGCTCTGCCACACAACCCCACAAACCGCTCCGGCACAAATCACAGTCGCCGGAGGCCTTTCCATGTTGCAGATTTCACGTCTCTGTTGCTACCAGAAGGGCTTTGAACTCGCAGAGCTGCCGTTGTTGATGGTTTACGCGGAGCCCAAGAGAATTCGGAAATGCATACGAAAGACGACGAAAGAATGCTGACTTGAGGTCAAATGCAATCTCCAAATCCCACTTCGCTCAGTAATGCACCACATAGGACGAGAACCCAGTTGCCAAATATTTCAGACCTCCCAGGTGCAAGTCACTGCAAGTCTGTGAGGATAGTTTTGTGCTGAACTCTATTGAGCTCGTCGCGCTCCGCGCTTGGCTGACGCTCGATGCCTTTCCGTGGAGCACAGCCAACACGGCCCGGCCAAGAGAGCACGGCGACGGCACGTGCCGGACTCAGAATCCGAAAAGGACGGGAGAAAGCGACAAGGACTGAGACTCTCTCTGACATACGGCACATACCAGCCTTTCTCGCCACCATAGATGAAGGAAGCCAGCGCCTCAAATCCACAGGACACAGAAAACTGCATGGGAGGCCCTGCCTAAGCCTCTAGCCTTGTTTATTCGGGTGTCTGAGTCGGTGATCAACCTCTGCGCAACATATGGCCTCAGCAGTACAGCACACCACCTGTCAATACTTGTCAGGCTGCACCTACTGGCAAACCCAAACTCATGAGCCAAGAAAGCGCATGGCAGGCACTCGTTCACGATAGAATACTCGGAATCATTACCTTGCTCCACACACATGGACATTCTGCGAATGAACCCCGCTTTCAACTGCTAACTGGCAGCCTTCGCAGCCAGGGCTGCGACTGAGTCCGATCCCTTCGAGGACGGCGAATGCTCGAGCAATGTAGAAAAAGTACGGAGGCCTAGGAGTGCAACTCAGGTGCTGCTCAAATTGTGGTCGCTGCGCGAATGCTGAGCACTGGTCACTCGGAAAAGGTTTCCGTAGCGACGGCTGAGGCCTGCATCACGACAGAAAGCATGGGAAACCCACAAGACTTTGGAACAAGCTCTGAGAATGTCCTTGAATTTCATTGAAGAGGCGGTTCACGTCCATCTTGGCGAAAGACGGAAGAAGGAGGTTGCGCAAAGCTCTGATGCACTGAAGCATATGATATTTCAGTTGATCTGAGGGGGCCGCTTGTGCTGCGCCACCCCCAGAAGTCCATTGGCCGTAAACTTGGGCCAATGTGGCCACAACCTTCAACGGGCGAAACCCTCTCCACCAAAGTGCTTGCTTGAGCCGCAGTTCATCTGCCTCACTCTTCACGACATCATCCTGCAGCAGGCTTCTTGGAAATTGCGATGTTGTTGCCTAACCTCTTCGCCAAGTAACTAGCCCTGAAGCACGGCTCCTTGCCTCCATTCCCTCCGGGACAAAGCCGATACGAACCAGGTCTGCTGGAACTGGATCGTAGTCCTCAGCTGTTTGCGCATGTTTGAGCAGTTTGCTTAGCTGCTCACCTGAAGCATTTGTGACGCACGTGGCAGTGCACCTGTCTGAGGAGCCAGCACGAGACACCAAGTGAGCGACATGCTCAATGTATGCCACCTACTTGAGTACTCCACATGACAGACATGCATTCGCTGCTTCATGCCGACAATGCTGGCGATTGCGTACCCGGAAGCTTGCGTCAAGGGTCGTGACAAGGCCCCAGTCAAGGATGCATAGCCTGCCAGCTCGAAGCATTCTCACGTCTTCACCATCTGCTGGTTCTTGTTGCGAGGGGTTGACAATAGCTTTCGAGCAACCGAAGCACTGGATCCCAGATATTGGGTCGGGTTACAGCTTCTGCCCCGCTGCAGTTACCGACAGTGCAGAAGCGAAAGCAGTTGTTCTGTGTCGTTAACCTGTTGCAGAATCCCTGCAGACCTGCCATCCGGAGTTCTGAGAAGGTTGCCTGGATGTGGATCCTGGCGCGAAGTAAGCTGGACTGTCGTAGAACAGAAACACACTCAAACAAGAAACGCTGAACTACATCTGCACATGTCGCGGGTCCGCGTGAAGAAGTCCCGTCTCCAGCATCATTGTCAGGTATGTGTTCATAGCCACCGAACATAGCTTCGTCACGTCCTGCAGCGAATGCCCGTGATCGACCAAGCTATGCCGACGCATCAAGCTTGCGAGACCTTCAGAAAATCACAAACGCCGCATACAGAGAGAGGCGAGGCATTCCCGCCATGGAATGCCATGAACGCGTGGCAGCGAGGTAGCCACCGTGCAGAGAACAAAAGGCATGCTGCGCGCAGTTCGATGTTGTATGCCCCTTGTCCATTGCTGAGGCCTTGGCTGCATTGGATGGAGCACACGACAAGAATCTTGCAGGCTCGTTTCGCTGTGCGAAGGCGGGAGGGCATTCATCACATGGGCGAGCACCAACATGTGATCATTTCACAACGACGCCGTTTCCGGTTACTGCGGCAGCATGGAAACCTGATGAGGATATGGTAGGAAGGGTGGCTTGTGGATCTTGTGGGATGTTGCTGCTGTTGCTGATCAGATCATCTTGGTCCTTGGGCAATTGCAAACGTGCCCACTGCCCACCTTCCTACCTGGCTCCGTGGCAGAACAGGCGAAGCCCTCCCCGCGCCGCCCCACTGTCCTCTGCTTCGCTTTGCTCTAAGCGCTCTCCGATGATCCACTCTGTCGTTAGAACCTGCAGCTCAACTGCCCGTGCCAAGGAAGTGCCTTTGCTCTGATCCGACATAGGGAATGCTTTGAGTGCTGGGCCTTTGCACTAGAACATGCCTCTACGGGCGGCGGAGCAAACACCTGGCCACATCGAAACATGTCATCGGCTTGGACGTGCCTGCTGATGTCACCAAACAACCCATAGAGCACAGAAGAAAGCTGCTTTTGCGCTCTGCGAGCATGATATAATCTATATAAAAATAATTTGGCCAGGCAGGCTGCTCCGGCCAAGGGAGTCTTCGCGATGTCTTCCTGGAACTGTTTCGCATTGCGCGCCTCGCAAGGCAGGTCCCAGAAGCTTTGGCAAAGCAGCTGCTGCACTTAGGGGCATGGAGAGCTGGAGCCTCCTCTCGGTAGTCGAGCTCTCCAACAAAGCCCTTTCCCCACTCGTCCACCCTGGAAGGGTTTCGTTTTCATGGTTTGGCATGCTCGGCTCATCCTGTCACAGAGAATTACAAGTCTTGTTGCCCACACCCCGAAGATGCAGCACACATCTTCAAGTTGACTGAGTTGGTGGCGTTCCAGCAATGTCGGTGTTAAGGCCAGATCTTGTGAAGGATAGCAGAGTCCTGTGGCTGGGATCCCTGTGAAAAAGACGGTGCTGCAGTCTCTTCCACCATGATGGTTCTCGTCATTCGGTCTTGTGGCAGGGCTGGGGATGCTGGGGATTATGAGCTTTGGGCTCTGGGCCCTAGCAACACATCCTCCAAGATTCTGGCTTGGTTGGGCTTGGCTTTAGCTGTGAGGGCACCTGAAAGGGCCGGCCCCCAGCTTCAAGAGGTAGAGATCCTCAAGGAGCGCGGGCACGGGAACGCGACCACGCGCGAGAGGAGGCGTCGCTGTCGCTGGGCTGCTAGCGAGAGCGACCACCTCTTCCATTCCAGGCCTCCTCATACGTGGACGGGAGCTGCAAAGGGCCCGCTGCTACCCTAAGGCCCCGGCTGCACTTTCACCGCAACTTCCGGGCCATCACGAAGCTTGGCCTTGTAAACCTCTCCACCAGACTTCGAAGGCGCGGTGCGCACATGAAAGCAGCCATGCCTGACCCAATGATGCGGAAGCGATCGGGGCCGGCGAAATCTCTTCAAAGAGCTCACCGACTGGCCTTGTCTTGCTGTTGGATGAGTCTGGTTGATCTTTCTCTCTGGATTGTCGAAATGTGCAGCAAGGCTGCTCTCTGAAAGTTCCTACCTCGTTGGAGAACTGTTGCATCTCGCATGTACACATTTTGCAAGTATTTTGCACTGCATGTTGAGTCTTTCATTGCAAACTCTGCCATACCTGCTCGAGTCTGATACTGTGCATCGCTTTTCCGAGATTTCTTCGCCAAAGTTTAGCGTGCTTGCCATCTCGACGTGTCACACAAGTCCGACTGGTTTTCCATATGTGCAGGTACCCGTTGGATGGAAGATCCGGTTGTGTCCACTGTGGTGTGCATGCTCCATTCGCATACCTGAACACCCTATTCCACTTCGCATATGTTAACATCGAGGACTCGATCGCACACAGACGACTGTCTGGTCTCGTCTTGGGGCAGACATTGCAGCGTTGTGTACAGCAGGGCGCAGAAGAGACCCACTGAGCTCTGCCCGACGAAGCTGGCTGTAACGTCTCAAGACTGCATGCATGCATCACGGCTCAAATCGGCTTGCCTTCAATCAGGTATGACCACGATTCCGCCAGTGCGGGTGCCGTGCTTTGTGTAGGAACGAGCCACCGCGGCTTTGCATGGAATGTCGAATCTTCAGTTGCAGGCCTTTCGACACAATGAACCAAGGTTGTTTTTTTTAAATCCCCGTCGTGTCAGGGTCCATGGCCGTGTATAGGGCCTCAGGCTTGTCGCTGTTATCCCTGTGGTGCGTAACATCGAGGACACGACCTCGTTCCTGTAGTTAGTCACAGTCAGGCTAGGATGGACAAACTCCGCCATTTCGCCTTTCGTTTGCTATTGAATGTCTCATAGGTTGTCTTTGTCTCAAGCTTTGAAGAGCTCTGGCTGGCTGCTTCATGACATGGGAATCTGGGTGTGCACGACTGCCGTGTCCAGCGTACAGCTCAAGGACTTGTGTGTGTCCTTCTGAAGACTATCTCAAACCACTGTAGACTCCCCTTCGCCTGCCCTTCATCCCAGAATGCAGACTCGATATTCATGGACGGCTCAGTACACAGTCTTTTCAGGCGTTCCTTGCCTGCCTGCAAGTGGCTGAGGCACGTTTTGTCACACTTACTGAACCCATGTGGCAAGCCTCTTGTGCACGGTACGATGCAGCTTAGCCATGATATCAAGAATCTCGGGTTCGGACCGTCCTAACTCAGATTCGATAATCTCATCGGCTTGAGCTGTCGGAAAAGGTGGAACTCTGTCCTAGAAGTCAGCTCGCCCCATGATCCGAGCAGCTCCCACGCCGCGTTTGGGGCCCGTCCTGCAGCTCCGTAAGAGCCTCCAAATAGGCCGGGGAAAGGAGGTCCGCGCGAATCGACAGTGCCTGGCCAGGCCCCAAGAAAGCCAGGTCCCAAACAAAGCCTCTTCCCATCGACGAAAAAACACTTTAGCCGGTTAAAGCCTGCAAAGAAAGAACACGTCTTCCAGCTGAGTCCAGCTTGTGTCTGAAAGCTCGGCCCTACGACCGCCCAAACACAATCCCCGACTCTAGGACTCCGACAGCTGTCGGCAGCAAGGCCGTTTTCGTCCGAAATCGCGAATCCCATACACTCGTTCTGGTGGATAGCTCTCTGCATCCGCAGTTCATGTTCCTGAGTTTCGTCCGAACTCTAGCATTCCTTTCCAAATGCAAGACTTTGCACATGGGCCGCGATCAGTCGTAGAATGTAGGCTGGCGTTTATCATCAAGTAGCGCACAGAATGCCCCGCAGGGGCCTGTCCAATCTTGATGAATGTCGGGCCGAGACGAGTCAAGATGTCTGTAAGCTCACGTGCACGTTCGGAGCTCATAGCCTGCCGGGCAATTCTTGGACACACGGAGATTCAAAGAACTCCTGCAACCCAGCTGCCTCTGATTCTCGTGCCCGTGCAGACACTTGAGCTAATCAAGCCCTCGCGAAAAGAATGCTCAGAGACTGAAAAGGTGGCTTTGGCGGGGTTGTATGCAAGGTGTTGCCCTGAAGTTGCCTCGATTCTGCCATGGCTTGCTTAAACTAACTCGATTCTGGCGTGCAACTGCCAGCCTCCCACTGCCCAGTCTGAGAATCTAGAAGAAGCTTGACCTGCAGTCTGCGATGCTAAATCACTCATCTGATATAAGATGTATACATTCAGCGGAAAACTCCACACCATCTCAGTGTACCCGCCTATACAGCCTTGGCTGTGCCGCCGCCACAACTTCTGCAGAACTATGGCCCGTGCGGCAAACCCCAAGCTCGTCCCGACAAGCTCAGCAGCACGTAGGGTGACCAGCCATGGACCTGTTTAACGGAAGGCCAGTCTTGCAGCCTCTCGCTCTCATCAGCTCCTGATGCTCCCACTCCATCGAACGAACAACCAACTAAGCTTGTGCTCAACGTTCCGGGCTGTGTTCTTTCTGCAGATCGTATCATACTCCGGCAGCTCTGCTGCGACATGCTTGACTACTGACTGGCGAAATGTATGACGACAACCAAAGTCAACAGCTTCGAACTTGAAGCACACTAGGTTTTCATTGTCCTAACGGAATTTCCAAACATGCCAGAATCACGACCGGCAAAATAGGCAGCTGCCGTGTCAGCATCGTATCGGCCATCTGCAGTAAGATCAGGGGTACGTATGGAAGTATGGCATCATGCAACCAGTAAGTTCTGGATACTGCGCTGAACGACCAAGGCTGCCACCAGGATATGGACGTGCTTTGCAAAGCACCCTATGCTTCCGCCTTCGGTGGACCACGTAGGATATGCCTCATGCACGGTTTTGGGACCGATACCACATGCAGTTCGTCCATCCCAGCACAACAGTACTAATGGTTTGTCATGGTTGAAACTGTTGCAGGCTTTGTGAGCACAGGTGCGCAACTCTGCGAGAAGTGATTTTGCAGATCGGGCAGCCCCATGCCGACTATTTGCAAGACGGAGTCCATTGACGCACGCGATTCTACAGAAAAGCAAGGTGCCAGACACGAGGGCAGGTTAAGACAACATCATGATCTGCTCGTTTTCAAGCTCTTTTGTATTTTCCCGATCTGCCCTGGGCTCTCCTGGGCAAGTTGGTGCTAATGCGGGGCCTGACCAGCGGCGCTGCATCACACGCATTTAGGCAAAGGCACCACCTACTAGCACTGGCACGCGGGCTGTTGCACCATCACCCTCGATTGCTGGCATCCCTGGATTCGCAGGCAGCTGAGCTGAATTGAGGGTAAGTGGATTGTGCAAACATTCATACAGAATGACTCGAAGGCAAGCAAAGGAAATCAGGATCCAGCGGAGGTCCTAAAGCGAATGCATCCTGGATTTTGCATCTTTTTGCAGAACCGGTTCAACACCCTCCATGTTCATTTCCTGACCGTTGACACAGCGATGCGTAGTCCACCGGAAAAACTCGGACCAGCATTGCTCCAGTCAGCAAGAACCACTTAGCTCGGGGATGCTAGGGTGCTTATCAAAGGAGCCTTTGAAGGAGTTTTGTTTTAGTTCAGTGCCAGAGGTCTGCAGCTTCGGCGCTTCCACGACGGGGGCCAATATCGGGACAAGGTATCAAAAGGTGGCTCAAGGAGCTGCAAGGGATGAAGCGACAGTGCTTGTGAGGACTCGGACTTTCAGAGACCATGAAACCGAGAAGTCATCTTGATAACTCTTCCATGCGTCGCTACAAGCTGCTTCCGGAAAACTTCTCCGGCCTGCTAGAACTCCACCGGTCGGCCATGCTAGAGGAAGCTGTGACCTCCAAGATTCAGGCTGTCGATTGAAGTCTTGCAACCGCACCTTACACGTGTCTAAATCGCTGGGTGGCCCCATGTTGCCTTGAAGGGTCGGCTGCTGCTCGTGCATTGCTCGCAGTAACCTCGCTGTTCGAATGCAATGACCTGATTCTGAATGTCTAGTACACCGGTCCCATGCTGTCCCTGTGGCCCTTGAGTCTCACTGGTTGTTGGGCTAGATCTTGGCTCTTAGTCCTCCACAGCAGCATCACCGGAGCGTACCCTCCCAATGTCGTACCTTGCACTCCTGCAGCAGGGCCATGTACGTCTCCGATCTTTGCCACGCGTGAATGCTTAGTCAGCGGAGCTTCAACGTACTGGTATGAACAGGCCCAGAGCCTGTTCAGCACCTGAACCTCGGGGGTAGAGGTAGAAAACAAGAATTCCTTGAATACCGCCACTAGGAGCCCTGTGACAGCATGAAGACGTTGGCGCCCGTGCGTATTCAAACGTGCATAGGCATGTCGAAGATTCTGGTAAGCCGCCATGGCTGTGAAGGTCCTGTCTGAGATACGATTTATATCCAAGTCCTTGTCGTCGCGAAGCAAGCGCCGGAGGCTCCAATCAGCAGAGCTGCAGCCCCAGCTGCCCTGGACTTTCCTGCCAAACCGTTCGAGCCCTGTCGATGAAACCTTCGTTTTGGTTTGCGAGCCATTGTTGCTCAAACAGAACTGCTCGGGAATTTGGTACTTGGATGTAAGCTTGGTGTGGGGTCTTCGCAGATTGCACGGCTTTGCCGGCTTCTTCATGTAGATTCACAGCAAGCACTACGCGCATACTAGACCGAAGGCAGCGGCCAAAAGCGAGCAGAGTGGAAGCAGGTCCGGTGCATTTGTGGTATTGGGTGTGTTTGTTTAGTTGCGTGTTTTTTCTGTTGCTTTTGTTTTTTTGGCTTTCTTGGTTTTGCCTAGGGAAAACGCTATTTCCTGACACTTTGGACGGATTTCGTGCCATCTCCCTAGGTTTTCCTAAGGACAACATACGTTGCTTTGGCTTTTTACGCAATTCGTAGGGTTTTACTTGCGTGGGGATTGATATTTGCTTTGCAGGCTCCTCTTTTGCGTCGAGCTATACGGGAAGCGCAATTTCCGAAGCTTTTGTTCTGCGTCAATCTATTGGCAAATACAATTTCCAGGCTCCTGGTTTGCGTCAAGGTATTGGGGAAGTACAGTTCGCGAGGCATTGGTTTCGTGTCAAGCTATTGGGAAATTACAATTCCTGGGCTTATGCGTAGTGTCAAGCTATTGGGAAATTACAATTTCCCGGCTCCTGTTTTGCATCAAGCTAGCGGGTGATTACAACTTCTAGGCTTGTGTTCTGCCGCAAGCTATTTGGGTGTTACAAATTGTAGGGTCCTGCGATGCAGCAAACTAGTGGAGGAATTCCACTTGTGAAGGCTCCGCTTTGCATCAAGCAATTGGAGAATTCAGACAGATTTGCAGGGTCTTGTTTTGCCTCAAGCGATTAAGGGGGACAGCAACGCTTTGTAAGGTCCGGCTTTGCATTGAGCTACTAGCACGCCGCCTCATCTGGCGATTCTGGTTCATCACATATCTTGGACATGCCTTCTCATTTGGCGAGTCCGTTTCAGCATATATCTCAACACGCCCCACCTGCACTTGGCGACTCCGGTGCATCATATATCTGAAACATGCTCCCTTATTTGGCGAGTCTGGTTCATCATGTATCTCAAAGACGCCTCTTCCTTTGGCGATTCCGGCTTATCATACATGCTAAACACGGCCCCTATTTGGCGATGCCGGTTCCTAGCACCATTTCCGGAGTCAGCAAAAAACATGGAATCATTTTCGAGCAAATATTCAGTACATGTTTATTGTAAGTATACAATATGGGATTATACTGAAACATATGCTTGTGACCATACCTTGCTTAATATCGACAATATAATACTTACATTGTAACTGTGCATTAGAGATCACAAACATCCATCCATCCATCCATCCATCCATACATTCATTCATTCATTCATTCATTCATTCATTCATTCATTCACTCATATATATATATATGTGAATCAGTTTACACGATCTCCACCACT